TCTTCCCTCCTCACTGCGTCCACTCTGTTTTCATTACATTACAGTATGACAGAGAGACCCCAGACAGACAGAGCATCCAAGATAAAGCATCTGCTGCAGTGATGTCAGAGGACAGTTATGAAGCAGATTATGAGCCTTGCCTGAACTTTCAGCCTCCAGTTTGCTCTTTTCACTTATTACATCCTTACTTTATCATCCTTATATTGTTGTCTCTCTATAAATCTTGCTTTTCGGGATTTTCGCCGTTATTTTTCTCTCAAAGTGTGAGATGAAGTAATTGTTTCTCAGTTGCACAAACCAGTTGTAAATGTAACTGAGTTACTAACTGAGTTGCTGCTTTATAAACCTAACTACTGGGAAAGTGACTTTAGTGTTACATTTATTTTTGCTAATAATATTTATGTTCCCATTATTAAGAGTTGCTGTGGCAGTGTGAGAGGAAACAATTAGCAAATTCTACGCAACCTCGTTGTTTTCAATATGTAGGTATTTTATCATTTAGTTCGCTAAAGGCAACAGACTTAAGCGTTTATATGAAGCAGGTGGTCAACAACATAACTGTCTATCAGTCTGTTTGGTCCTGGCACAGACCATGGAGCTGGCGGTGATTATAATCAAGCCTTGTCCGTTTGTCTGGAGTGGATCCTCTTTTGTCTCCAGAGCTACGAGTCTGGGTCTCCGCTGTTTGCAGCACCGGACTCTCTGAGTTCAGTAGAAGTGAGTTGTTTAGCTCGGTGCTTCATGAGAATAGAACTATTGTTGGCGGTGGACACAGAATAAAACTACATTATATTCTACTATATTGTTGTTGTTTAACTTGAGTCACAATGTCTCACACCTGAATGATCCTCAGCCTGTGTGTTTACTGCAGATGATATTGTTTCTCCAAATCTATGTCAATAAACTTTTCATGGACTGTATTTGTTGGCTATTGCACGTAAAGTAACTATATTCTTAACTGAATAAGCTAGTTAGCACAAATAGTAGTGGCATTAGGTTATTCTGAACACTGTTTTGTTTGGAGATTCAGCCCACATCTATATTATTTTTCGACGTATAAAGCTTTTCATTTATAGAACATATATATTTACATTTTCTATAAACGTAGTTGGTAAATGTTTCCAAATAAACTGGCAGGTCACCCTTAGTGGTTTTACCCCCAATGTAGCCAATAGTCAAATCCTCTGTCTCTATGTGCTCTTACAGCCTTCATCTTCTTAACCTGATCCCCTGGCTTGCTAATAATAGAAAGCTTTAAAAGAACAGGCAGGGAAACAAAGCATAAAGGGGGGAATTGGGAAAATGCTGGCTGGATTCACGGTGGATTTTGTGCAATGTTCAGTTTAGTGACTCCAAGGACCCTTTCAACTATTGATTTAAAGTTGTAATTCTGCTGGGTAACCTTTCATTTCTGCAAGTTTATTTTTGGTTTGTTTGTGCTGGGTGATGTTAACACTCAATGTTTGTTGATGGTGTCCTAGATTTAAAAAGGGAAGCTGAATGTGTGAGTATTTTATAACAGGTACTTTGCTGTGCGGACATTCTGTCTGACCTGAATATGAGATTTGTAAGACCAAAGCTAGAGAACATTTATTCTTCAGATTTAAAAAATGGACAAGTGATGATGTGTAAAGTTATTTAAGGAGTCTGAAGACATACAGTCAGACCTCATTCCTAAAAGCTGAAGTGATAGACTAACTGGAACAGACAAATTAAGACGTGCAATCCCAGTTTTTGGCTTGTGCAAATTACCTTGTTAAGTAATCCTGGCAGTAATCCATGAACCCTGGAAAAATTACAATGCTTTGAAAACATTTGTTTTTAAAGAACATTATGAAGGGCTGATTGACTTGGCAAGCTGCAAATTCTGTTAACCCGAAAGCCTGAGCTGCTTTTTCAAATGTCTGTACATGTGCTTTTAATGAAATGGATAAATAGGCCATCCTATGTTCAATACCAGACATATAAACTGTTTTTGTATTGCTAATTAAAGGCCAGTTGGTCTCAGATCATTAAGGTGGGAAAGTCTTTTCACAGTCAACGAAAGCACGACATACATTCACAACGCTAACATTTTTCATGATTAAAAAATATTAAATTCATTTTCTTGATGAGTTTCTGATAAAGTGTGGATTTATACCGTCCTACAGGGCATGAATGAAATGTGATTTTTTACGGCCTGTGAATATAATCTTTACTGTTAGTCCTATAGTTTAGAGTTTAACGTTGCATTGACTGTGTCCCCTGCATCAGTATGTAAAACCACGATCACATAGACCATATATAGCCTAATTGGGTGCTCTGCCTAAGTATAATGCCTAAGTATAATTTTTAATTGATTTAAGATCGCCCTCTGTGATTTAAGAACTAGATGACCATATTGTCAGACACATGCTCTGCAGGTGATGGAGAGAGAGAGAGAGAGAGAGAGAGGGGTGTTTTTGTACGTCCTCCAGGTGTGATGATTTGAAAAATGAAATGTCTCACACCGCTTTTTTGCTCATTTTTGGGCAGTTTGTTGTGTCATTGTGCACACTGATTGCTGGATCGTTTCCATACGCTACCTTATTATAAAGCCTCGTCCAGTCATGTATATCACCTGATAATGGAATACCTGAGTTGTGTTATTTAGGCCTTCTTTATAAAAAGTGCTGCTTATCATAAACCCAATGTCAAAAGATAAGACACGTACAGGCAGATAAAAGAGGTGCTGGTATGTATGTGTGTGTGTGTGTGTGTGTGTGTGTGTGTGTGTGTGTGTGTGTGTGTGTGTGTGTGTGTGTGTGTGTGTGTGTGTGTGTGTGTGTGTGTGTGTGTGTGTGTGTGTGTGTGTGTGTGTGTGTGTGTGTGTGTGTGTGTGTGTGTGGATAGTAAAACTAAGAGGAAGTAAGGTGTGCAGATTAAAGTAGCTTGTGAACAGCCACTTTACTAAGTTAGAGAGCAAACACAAAAATATACAAACTGACCTTATATAAATCGATAACCTAACATTTCAATTTGGTCATGAATTTCAATGACACCCTGGCCCGGGTCGCCACCTTTACAGCTACAGGTGATAAATGGTATTGTGTTTTTCTAGTCTTCTGACTACTCAAAGCACTTTCAAACAGCAGGTAACACCTACACATTCACACACTGATGGCTGAGGCTGATATGTAAATATATATAAAGTGGCCGCCAGTACACATACCACTTACGAAGCAGCAGAAGTAACTCAGGGTTAAATGTCTTGCACCAAGGACATGTCGACATGGGGCTGCAGGGATCGATGCCCCAACACTACCATTGAGCCACAGAAGCTTCATTGTGAAAACACTGATGCTTTTTAAAGATCTCTTTAGGATTTGGCTGCATGCCCACTGAAGTGAAAATATCCCTCAATGCAGCATTTCTACAGTGCTTTGACTGAGTATCACTGACAACTGAGATTAAATGAGGAGTTATGATATCTGTGACTATGGATCAGCCATGAGCCCTTGTATGGTGATGATGAAAAGATACATGCTGAGTTTGTAATTGTTCACCATCCCATTTTATCTCTTTTACTTTCTCTGTCTGTGATAATTGTATATGTTGTTCTCCCCTTTCTTTTCTTGCATAATGATGCTTTCACTCTCATGAATAATTTTAGTCCAGCCCTCTAACACTGTCAAACCCCCTATCTGGAACTGCAAAACGGCGAGTGGGATTTGTTTTTGCTGATTGACTTGGTTTTGTTTTGGCCTATTTTTTGTTTTTCTGTTTGGTTTTATTATTATTTCTGTGTTCTTTCTTTGTGTGAAATATCTTTGCGTCATCTGGAGAGTTGAGGAACTGCTGAATTGGAAAAGTACAGCTGGTGTCAAGGTCTCGAAACAGGAGAAAACAAGAGGAAAATGTTTGAATGTGTTTGTGCTTGTGTGTGTGTGTGTGTAGAGGCACAGAGGGAGTAAGGGAGACTGAGACAAGGGTAGTGGCACACAGAGGAGGAACAAACAAGAAGAGAGCAAGAGCTTCTAAAAGGTGATGTTTCACATGATAGCACGTTCTGCAATGTTGCTGCATGGCAGCATCACCAAATCTCCCACTTTCACTGTTTTTTCTCTCCTCCAGCCAAGCAGACAGGAAGGGTGTTTGGGTAATATTAAGAAAGTCTTTTCAGCCACTGATACCTCGAGAAAAGTGAAAAACACCAACAAAATGGAAACAAACAAAAAAATCTTTAACTGTAGTACAGAGTTGAGACTAATTTCTTGGAGATAATATTATAATAGAGATTGCTTAAAACAATTTTTATGTAACATAAACCATGTATGATTAAATAAGGAGGATAAAAAAAGCATTGAAGTCTTTAATGGAGTCCATAAAGATCAGGCGTCCCAGCACTGGGAGGTTTTTGCACTAGACTACTTCGTCATGAGCATGACGTGTATGTAGTAACAAGCGTTTTACAGCATGGCATGCTAAGTCACCATGAAACAGAGCTGGTGTGTGTTTTGGTGTGTGTATATAAGAATATGTAGTAACAGAGTGAAAAGCGTGTAATATGCTCACCTGTCCCTTGATGCAGACTGATGGGCAGGTGGAGTGAATAGAAACCAGATGGAGAGAAGGACATGCATTATAAAAGTCACATACAAATGCACTAAGGGGGTGCAAATGTTGAGATTACATTATCACCATCAATAACATAATAAAAAATATATAGTCAAAGGAAGAATATAAGTGATGACTGTCAGTGTGAGGATTGATAGAGCAGGAGGGGATCGAAAAATAGGTCATGATTTTTGACATGGTTTTGTCCCTTAATTTTTCCACTCCAAGATGGATAACACATTTTAGATAGTAATCTGAGTCTTAGCCTTTTTTAGTTTCATTTTCAGTTTCCAAGATGTCGACAAATTAGAGGATTAGTCTTACTGTCATTTACTGCCAAATCTATTCTTATTTCAGATTGTTACATTCCAAACTCGAATGCTTTTCTGTGGATGTAAATACTAACTCCAGGTTGTTTTTGACAGGGTGAAGAGGAGGATCGTGCTGATATTTCCTCCTGTCAAAGGTGAGTTGAATTATATTTTTTTGTTTGTTATAAACTGTAGTTGACTTTGCTTCAGTTCAGACACGCTACAATTTAATCATTTTTATGATTTTCTTTCATATTAAGTTGTGCTTGTATTTAGTTTTCTGCTATTGTTATTTGTAGTGTCACACACCAGGGCTCTGCTAAAACTTGTTTGGTTTTTCTTATGGACTAAAATGTTGCTCTCGTGTTGTTTTCCTAATCGACTATATAAGCAGTGAATCTGCAGCATTTTGTACATTAAATAGCCCTCACACTAATATAAAGATAGCTTCACTTTTACACCTTATGCGATCAAACAGTTCATAGTTCCAGTCACGTTTTGTGTTTGATTTGAATCAACAAGGGAACCCAACAGCTGCTGGTAACCCTGTGTTCAAAGAACCTGTGTCCTGCGTGTATTGTGGTCTCTGTTTCTCTGTCAGGAACACGTCTTGGGCTGGATCTGGTTGCCGTGGTGACATGCAAGTGTCAGCAGTAGGATGTGTGATGTGTGTTTGTGCATGTGTGGTGGCGGGTGTTGAAAGGACCCTGTAGAGGCAGATAGGGTTCCCCTGTCCAGAAAATGCCTGCGTCATGCACAAGTCGCCGGTCAGATACCAAAACTTTAGATATATGGGCATGCAAATACACACCGGAGCCCACAGACACTTAAGGATCTAATATAGGAAATACGCAGACGGAATGGACACACACGTAGAAAGATATCCAGATTCCATGAAGGCCGCAGCCATGCATCCATATCGACAAGACTATTAGGTTTCTTACAGGACAGTCCTGTCGCAACGCTTTGAACACTAATAGTATGTGTCCATACTTTAATGAACAAACACCTGGAGCTAGAGTTGAATGACCCTCATTTACATTTCAAAATGTAATTCTGCATCTGATCTTAAAGGTGGTGTCAGTAGACATGTTTGTTTCAGCTCTTCTCCTGGGCTCACCCACTGCAGGACTTTAGCGTGTACCTTTACTTCCTGAAGCTACACTACAAGCTTCCTCACAATCAGCCTAATACATTTGATGTATAATTTAGCAGGCTTGCACAAGTGAAGCCCCTGTGTTTGTTATAAACAGAAAGCAGGTGCGTCCACGCTTGAAAGCCAACAGAAGATTCACCCTCATTTTGAAGCTTTATCTGCTCGCTGTTCCGCCTCACTATGATTATATTTTCTCCTTCTTGCTGCTACATCCACCTCCGTCATATTCACTGGTTTGAATCAAGCCAATGGCTGGGGGAAATACACCCACTCCCCAACCAGAAACATCCCTCATCAACCAAAACATCAAATTACAGTCAGAGGACAGGGTCTCTGCAGAGTCACCACCACACATGTATGGAGACCCATAAGTGCTGCTTGAGCGGTATTACTTTTGCATGAGTCTATACTCATTTTGTAAGGAAAAAACTGCTGACTCTGCCTTTAAAAAATAACTAGTATAAAAAATGGATGATATTTTAATTCAAAATAAGAAAATTAAAATTGTTGCCTTTTCAACAGCTGGATGAGGGAAATTCTAGTGCCATGCTTCAATGCAGATTGACTATAGTTCATAAGGGAGGGGAATGCATTTCTCATTTGCTCCCCCCATGTCACTGTGGCGATCTTAACAGATTCTACAAACCTGCAGAAGCTACACTGCTAATTTCCACCAGATGCGTGTTCGGTCAGTCTCCGCTTCACCACGGCAGCGGAGCTGATGAGGTTTATACTTTATCAATGTGTGTGCTTCCATTGGCTCCGCTGTGCTATGTCTCTGCATCACAGAGGGCTCTGGACTGCTGGAGTCCAGTCCAGAGCCCTCTACAGCTGATATGCAAGACTTCTATTTTTGCCGGATACCTGAGCAAGGCGCATCAATTTACCACAGTACAGATTGAGCAGGACAGGAAGTCAAACATCAGAAAAACATTCAAACATCTGGTTTATTTCATGTTTTAGTGTTGTTTTGGTGCTTGAGAACAATGACTGTAGGTGGTTTTGTTGATGTGTTTATAAGGGTTTTATACAGTTTTATACCATATATCGTATTATCTCACATTGTCATGACTATTCAAAAACGTTTTCTTCCCAATGGGATCTTTGACTCCAGTAAGGCATATGTCATGATGAACTGAATAGAACTGATGTACAAACTCACTAAATATATTGGAAATGGGGAAGACTCAGGAGATTGAGTGGAGGAGGGTAAGAGGTCTATTAGTTTGTTGAAGGGTAAGAAAGATGTCAAATGAATGAGAGATACATTATATCAGAAGTCATTTTATTCCAGTCATGATACAATATCCATTATTTAATGTAATGTGACAGTATTGGCCTTTAATTTTGTAACTGTATTATTGGATAGACTATTTCATGTTTTAACAGTGATCTGAGTTAGAAAAAAATGAAGAATTTATATTTCCAAACAGACAGAACAATTTTCCTCACATTTTATGTTTCCTGATATTGCTGGTATGTTGTCAACACTTTCTCAATTGAAGCACATTTCTACTGTGCATTTAAAGGTCACTATTGTACTAGCAGCTTTTTTTTATGAATTAATGAAGTCAGAAAGTAGGCTAGGCAAGCATATTTATTTATGATAGGGTATGGTGTAGAGAACACATGATGGAGAGCATGACCTTTTCAAATTGAAATGTCAACTTTTCCTCTGACCTTAAAGTTTTTCACCTCTTTTGATGAACTCTGGAATTGGCACTTTTGCCTTTTCTTTGGTAGACATGGTGGTGTGTTGTAGATTATTGTTTTAGCTATATATCATGTATTATAACTGTGTGGTTGGAGCATTTTTGGCAAAAATATATTGACATTGTACTTTGAATTACTCTTGGAACATGACGTTCCCAATCAGGAGGATAATACATACAATTTAACTGAGACTAGTGTTTCCATATAATACATAACAAACTGCCAAAAGACATCTGGAAAAAAGCTATCTTTGTTGAAATTCTTCCACCAAATGCATTTCAATTTCAATTTTCTATCTGGCCACATTGCTGTCACCTCATGCATCATACTCTCATTGGATTGAAAAAGTTAGTATGACTGACCACACTCATGGATAAAACCTTCCTCACACTGGTCCTGTTGGCATGCAGGTCGGCTCATAGCTTTGTAGACCCCCCCATGTCATCTACACTTGTACAACATATGCATCATGTGCGTGTGAGTGGGGCCATCAGTAATTGGAGACCATGAGCTTTGATCCCTTGGGGTCGCCTTGTCGCCAGAATCACCTTTACACAGTCTCCTTCACTCCCTTTAACTCTTATCTATTGCAGTACTTACACATATACATGGGCTTGTTGTGTGTATGTGAGAATGCACTCTTGTTTTAATGCTCTTTGTTCCAGAGCCTGATTTGTTTTGCAATTGCAGTTAGGCAAAAGATTGATTTTTTTAGAATGTAGCGATGTTTGAGTTAATCAAGCAAGCTTCTTGCTACCAAGTGTGTGCGAGGTTGTGATCGTGTGGATATGCTTGTGGGTCTCTTTGTTAAGTAAAAAAAATGTCTCCCCTAATGGATTCGAGATTATATGATACCAATCCAGTGCTCACGCTTTATGTGAGGCTTCAAGATATGTATTTCCTTTGTTTTTACTGTAATTTCTAAAACACCCTTATTTTTCCCAGAGAGGCACTCAGTATGTTTTTTTGTTCTTAAACAAAAACCCAGTTATAGGGAAAGCATAGGGATACAGTACATTTTTTCAAGATGTATCTCAAGGCGACTAAATAACTTTTATTGATTAAATCTATTGTAATATTATAAAAACTATTTTTTTCTGAGAATTCTGGATGGATGTATCATAGAATACACAGAAGAATAAACATTTACAAAAAGCCCACACATTCAAGACTTGTATTTCTTCAAGGCCAGTTCAGCTTTATGTAACAAAACAAAAACAAAAGCATAGTATTCCAGAGGCAGAAAGGACATACATTTCTCAATGAAAGTCTGTCCCCAGTCGAGGCAACAGTTGGGGTATCCTTGTTTTTTTAATCTCTGACTGGTATTGTTGAAACGGGATCGATAAGGCAAGTAATAATACAACACATTGTCCTTCCTTACCATCCAGACAAGGCATCACTTTACTATCTCTGTCATTGGCTCTTTTGACAGTCCAGATTTAGCCTATACACATTGACAAGGCAATATTAAGATCAGTGCTGGTTGCCATCCCTGTGACCTAGAAGTGCTGACAAGGAATAAGCCAAGGAATTGTATTAACCCAGTCGTGTCCTGACCATGCTGACAATATGTTCTTTAGAAGCCCTGTTAGACAGCTCTGAAGGCATTGCCCGATAAACTAAGCAGTCTCGCTATAAGAGGCCATTGTTGGAAAGCCGGTGTACTTTTGTCTTAAACACTGTTGACCATGGTAAGGCAGGGAACACAGTAAGGCTAACAATATGGCCATACATGTTGGTAAGGCACAAGTGAGTGCACTTGTTTGTCTTGCCTTGTGTAGCTGACAAGACACTGGATGCTTGGTGACAAGCTGCTTGCTATTCCACACCCATGTTAGCATGGCTAGGGTCACATTGACATCTGTAGTCTGGGGAAACGTGAGCCTATCTTTCCAGCAAACACAGTGAGCGTGTGCATGTGTGTGCCCATTGATAGGGATTAGCAAAGATGTGTGAGCCTGGCTCCCTGGGATCGCCCTGGCTTCTGCTGGAGGTCAATGCATGTGCACTCTAATGTCTGTGAGTGTTTGTCTGTGTGTGTGTATTTGCCTGGCAGTGGGGGGTTAGGCATGGATTGCAATGACAATAGAAAGGAATTTAAATGAGAGAAAAACGGGGATCAGGGACGTTTGCAAGGAGGATGGAAGAGGCTTTGGCACTATTGTTATTCTTCCTCTTTGTCATTCTGTCTCTCTATCTCTCTATTACAAATCCTTTGCTCTCTGTCTCTCTCACTCATGTCTGCAACATTTCTCACAGAAATCAACCTCTCATGATTTCATC